ACACTACTAAGGAGTTTCTGTGACTGTGGCCACTGGAAAATTCAGGCAGTCACAATCACATTCTTGTTAGCTTTAAGCCAATGATTAAATTAGTGCGACATTAGCTTCTTACCTAACTTCTAATGTTGTGTGTAGTCACAACCTAACGGCACTGAGGCATGCATAGCTGTCGCTTCATTCATGGACATAGAATAGCTTTACTGCATGTAAATCAGCCTTAATACTGGAGATTTCAGTCAGGTACTATAGGTGTATCATGGGTATCATAGATTTAACATCAAAAGGAAAGAACTGGACATGAAAGGAAAGAACTGGACATGAAAGGAAAGAACTGGACATGAAAGAAAGAAGAGACTCAAAATTATTATATTGGACTACCAATAACAAACTACTAGGCCCAGGGGACATAGATATTTTCTCTTTGCATTTGAATTTGGACAGTGAGTGAATTGTGTTGAATCTGCATTGAGCTAGAGCTACTTGCAATAAAATTTAAACTTAAGCATGTTGTTGGTTGAATTATTAATGTCCTGTCTAAATTTTTTTAATCTTGTTGTTATCGTCCCCCTCTGCGTACTACAGTATTAGCAGCCAACCGCCCCAGGAGTGGAACAGGTGAGGTGCAGTGCTGCATGCACTCGGGCATTTAAATAAGTGCACCTGTCTTTTAGCTAAAGTCCCACTCAGTCAAGCACAACAAGGCAAAAACACAAAGTATCCAGATAATGAATGTAACTGGCCTCTTCAAGTCAGAACCAGCACATTCATCACAACAGTTTTTACTAAAGCCTTGTGCTTTTCAGTGCAAGCCTCAAATTTGAATGGGGCAATCCTTGTCGATGGAGGCTGTAATTTGAAACTAATTTATCTTCTTTGTGTGCCACAGAATCCCACATTCGGTGTGGGGCTGTGAAGCTACATACCACACACTTCACACACTCGCGCTATAAGTCTGACCCACCCAGACAGTGCATGTACAAAATGTACTGCATATTTTACTGCATGCAAGATTCACACACATTTCCTGCTGTTATACACTAAAGTATATATAATATAGCAATAATACAAATTTGGACTTGTAGTCTACTTGAAATTGGTGCTGTAAAAATGAGATAACAGCTCAATATTGGGAATAGCAAAACATTGTGACATTCCCTGCCAATAGACAGTAATCAGCTATTGCCAAGAAACAGATTACAGTGCACTGTTAGACTTAACAGTATGGAAAATATTCTAAATTTTGTTCAGTGTTGGCAGTTTTGATGGAAAGATCAAAAGGTCAAATCCATATTTCTGTCTTCCAAGGGCCTCGGGACACCCTCAATGAAATCTAAAAAACGCTGCAGTGCACTTTGTGTCATTCAGAACAGGCTGCAGAGGTTCTTGGTATCTTTAAAAAAAAAAATAAAAATCACTGTAACTATAGAGGAGTGTGCCACTGTCCCAGAAGAAATCAGACAAGCTACTGCTGAGGGAATTTACTTATTTAATTGGAAAACCCAAAATAAGAACTTGAATAAGACTCAATAAACATTTAAAAAATCCATCTGGATTCAAGAGCCAATAGGAAAGCCAACAAAAGCAGGATGGTTCTGGGGCAATGGGCTAATTCACCAGTGTGCGCAGTGATACAAGCATCTGGGTTTGTGTCTTCCTCTGTTGGGCCAGTGAGAGACAATAGGACATGAATACACTCTCAAACATACATGGAAGTGATTCCTGCATTCCAGCATCACAGCTGCACCACAAACCAGAAGCATACAATCCTGCAGCACATCTAATGTCTTAAAGTTAATCAATGACCAACAAACACAATGACCTTACAATGATATAATGGTTTTCAATTGCACATTACTTGCTTAAAAGTTCACTGGTAAGTAACTTTTCTGGTAGGGGTCTCCTACCTGCATGTCTCTATGGTAACGTTATTCATTTATATTAGAATGTTGCACGGTATGGCATTAAACCTGCCTTGTATACAATTCAGTTACAGGTATACCATGAAACACATAGATTTTGCCTTTCAGTGGCTCTGACATGTAACTTCACATGGCATGATTGTCCATTGAGATGGAAAAGGTAAATTTCATACAGTACAGATTCAAGCACTGATTCAACTACTGACTGGCATAAATGTGTACACAATGCTGGTAGGCCTGTCATGATAACAAATTTGGAAGTGCGATTTATATAGAGGATAAAAGATAATACTGAAAATAATTTATGTTACTGACACAATAAACCAAGAACAAATAATCACAAAACTATTCTAAATCGACAACTGTTTGTTAAAACACATGAGCTGCAATAGATAATTAGCAGAATAAAGCACTTTAGTACTTAATTTGCATCTGTAATGAGTCATAGAAGTTATTCATTCAACCTTTTACACAAATTTTCCAGTAGTACAAAGAAAATGCATACACAATAAATACTGACTCACATTGTTCCATTTTTCTTATATTGAATGATAAGTCAATATAGTAATTATCATGACAGGCCTAAAGGCTAGTGATTAATGATTGTTTTATTTGGTTTATATTTGAGAGGCACAACATGCTACATCAGAGCCTGGCACGTTTTCATAGTGCGCACACGGTTACTGCACTGATTTGTCAGCATCTGATCAGTTTCACCACACTGCCTCACTGCACTTGCTCCCTCAGCCCTCCTCACCTTCAGAGGAGCAGTGCTTCGCTGTAAACTCTGCCAGATCCTGTGTATTGGCAAATAAACAGTTTTCTGACTAAGGGCCACAGCACAGAGAGAGGGCAGCTATTACACAAAAACATGTGAGCCTGCAGTCCAGAATTGACGCATTTAATTTAAGATGCCAAATCCACTGCAAGATGTACCCAATGAAATATCCCACACATAAATTAACTATTATATTTAAAAATTTGCCATGTCATCTCCTTTTTACACTACACACACTATCACATTTTAATTAGTTTTCATTTCAAAAGATATTCAAGCAAACCAATCTGGCATTCTATGATCTCTATTTTCTTCAATAATTTGAAATACAGCAGAAATGCGTTTCTTGAAAAGCCTCTTCTGGCTTGTTTTCATGCAACTTGTAACTTTCAAGGGTGATAAATACTAAAATTAAAAATGTACTGTCTGCATTGGAGAAATGTGCAACAATTGGATAATATATTACAACTTATGCCTGTTACTTTAAAGATAGTTCTCTGATAGCTCTGTCCTAGGGGCTTTGTCAAACCTGTATGACCTTTTACTTTACTTCAGTCTGGCAAGAGGAGTGTGATTGAGCTGACAGCAATATTTTAAATATCTGATGAATTTAGTACTCTGTAAAAAGTTGTAAACAACAAGCCCTTTTGGCTCTGAAATTCATGATTCGTGTTATTAGAGAGTTGTGTTGTATAATCAGCCAATGTTTTCTCAAGAACATGGTTAAAGGGTAGTAGATAATTTAGTATTTTGCTCCAGCTTACATGCATGACCATAACAGTTCCAAATATAACTCTGTAATACACTTTTGGGGAAAATAATTTTCTGCATACTTATACATTGTAGATAATTATTCTTAGGCACTGTGAAAAGCAATAGAAAAATAAAGACTCGTCGGCCATTTGGTGTCAGTATAAAGATGAACCATGTAATTAAATGCAAATATGTCTGTATCTTGTACCTTTTATGGTTAAATTGTTAGGTGCCTACACTTTAACCAAACGTCATCTAGTCTTATTAAAGTTAAATCAATCTCCAGCTGGCCAGGGCTACTGCCCACACAGAGGTGAAATTAAATTCCTCAACAGTGGGCTGCCATAAACACCAGTCTAAGTGTTACGTTCCAACAAGTACAGCAATCACACGTGTATGCCACTGCAAAACTACCTCCTCAAGTGTCTAAATACAACCCATCTGAATTTTCTATTTACTTAGATTAAAGAGTTGCGTGTACCAAAATGCGTGATTGCGCCAAAAACCTAATCGTAATCAAACACGAAGGTAAGCAAGACAAGTTTTGGGGTAGGGCTGCTGTGACTCACTCAGAGCCGTGCCAGGCTAAAGCTACAGGCCTAGGCAACAGCGTGGGAAAAACTCAAGTGATAAGTGACTGCAATGTGACTAAAAGACAGTTAATAGTCCTAAACTCTAAATTCAAGCACCTAAAATAAAATGACATGCCCCACGAGGGTACAAGTTAAATGTTGTTGATTATGTAACAGTGGGGGGTGCTACATTATGGTTGTTTTTGTTGTAGCCTTCTCTGCGTTAGCCAAACTCAACTGGACAGTCGCAGGCAGGCAGCTGTCAGTCTGACATATTGATCATTATAAGCGCATTTGTGATCAGTATGTTTACCACTCAGTAACACTGTTAACGGCAGTGACAGCGTCCACTTACAAGTGAATGTGTAAAACCACTTAAAATATTGGCTTTGTGTTTCAAGAAACAAATACAAGTTAGCATCCAAGTGGCTAACCGTGCCCTCCTGTAGCTTAGGATATCGCACCCTTACTGTAATGCTGATTATAACTTTACATATTTGTTGATTACTATGTGTAATACACTTTATTACAAGAAGGCTTCAGCCACGACTCTTTAATTTGAGACTAGTCCACACTCGTAATGTGCCTAGCCCCAGAGACACAACTTGTTTCAGTGCGCATGAATGTACAGTAGCTCCACTGTTAGTCGAACTGCAAAATCAAGCAATTTTGGCTAGCTACTAAAAACACCTACACAAGAACTGCAAAAATTACACTCATGAAACCACCAGCCACTTGTGGTTTCCCCAAGAAGAGAAATATGTCCAGGAGTTAGAACCACTGCATCAACAACGCACTGAACTGTCTGAACGCCAACAATCAAAGGCAAAGCAGTGCATTTCTGAAAACAAAAATGACCTGTGCGCTTTGGCAAACCTTGGAAAAAGAACTTGATGTGTTGGTATATTCCACACAAACAGTACCCAGATATGGTGTCCGATAATGGAAACAGGGACGCTTTCCTTGTTGCAGCTTTACCTTGTACACATCTCCGTATGTGCCGCTTCCTATCCTTTGGATCAACTCGAAATCCTCCTGCGGATTCCGCCGGGATAGGTCGACACTAGAGTTCATCATTGTCACTGTCGTTTAGGGCACCGATCGCAGGTGGTTGACGGACCCCAAACGATAGACAAAATCCAATATTTTAAGAAAAACATACGGCGTCAGAAAATTCCAGCCCGAATCCACTGTAGCTCCAACATGGCTTCCACTGCGCAATGGGCATGCGCAATGGACATCATGGCGTACCTTCCCCATACTGTGGGGGCTGCTTACTAAAGTGATCACCAAAACAAATAGCATAGAATGGAATTTACTGTAAATATAAAAAGATAAGAATAGTAAATAAGAAAATACAGCAAAATGAGCCGATATGATAATTCTATAGTTGTCACTGTAGATGGCCCACTAAAGCCTAAAACAATTTAACTCATTATGTAAAAAAATAATGTATCATTCATAGTATTATTTATTTGTACATGAACATAACTTAATAAATTCGTGTAAAATAAATGCTAATACTCTATTAAGCCTCCCAATGTAAATCTGGGCTAAGCAGGGCTAACAGTGGCAGATGGCAGTATTGTACAGCTGTGGTCAAAACTTGGGTATATGGAGAATGTATTACCATAAAGAGTAACAATAACATTACTTCAACAGGTTTGTATTGTGTAAATATTATTTGAAGCATGGGTCTAATTTAACATATTTGTGCATTAGTCCATCAATTGCACCTAAACTGACCCTAACAGTTTTTTCATGCCTCAGAGATGAAAGGGGATGGGTCCTTTTCAGTCCATACTTCGTTTCTTGGGCGGAGGGTGGTCCATTATTTTGGCCTTCACTTAACAGCTGCTTGGTGCAAGTTGCTCCATCAGATAGGCAGTCCTGCTTTTCAGTTTGTGAATCAGTTGAGTTTGACTTAACGTCTTCTTGCGCGATAAGTCTTTTTATTAGGCATGATAACTGAGGACTCAGCAGAAGAACCAGGATGCCACCAACTCGAAGAACTCTAATACAAAAACAAAAGAAATATTTAATTTTTAAGGACTTGCACATTTTTGCAATATTTCAAAGGGATCTACCTTGTCATCTCATAAAGAATAGGAGGTAAGTCCTTGGCTGCATCTATTTTAGTACTAAATTTCCGACCAAAAGGCAAATCACAAACAACAGTATCCACACTTGCGCTGTGCAAAGGCAGAACTATAAACACACATAAAAAGAATGACACTGTAGAAATCTTTGCTAATTCATTGTCATAACTGTGTGTTTCTTACCCAGAGACGAGGCTTTAAGTACTTGCATCCTATCCTCTAGGTGTGCATAAACAATATTTTCATTGGCTTTGACTAGCTGCTCATCATCATTATCAATTCCCAGGAAAAATGCTCCCTGTTTAAAAGTAAGAGTATTTTTAATTAATACTGCTAATACTTCAACAATAAAACAAGGGTGCATGTATTGTACATTGTGCTCCTTTGCTGCTTCTATCAAGATGGTTCCCACTCCACACATTGGGTCAACCACAAAAGACCCTGGCTGTTTTGGACACATACAGTTATTTACAATAAACCTTATATTTTATACATTATTTTAGTGCAATTGCAAGTAGGTTACTACTTATTGACCACCTGTATCTGAGCCATTGAGGCCATTGCCCAGGCAACTGTAGACCTCAGACCAGTGGTTTGAACATAGTTCCTGTTGGCTAGAGGAAATCTGAATATAAAGTAAACATAGATTACAAAATGCATTTTTATGTATAATATTCTAGTAGTCAATGTCAACAGTTACTTTGTCAGTGGGATCCCCTGGAGACAATAGTCATCAGTCAAATTGACATTTACCTGTAACAGAATCACAGGAAGACAAAATATAAAAGAGAGTTGTTATTAAAATAATACATCTATAAAGCAGTAAAACAAACCTCTAAGTGGGGATTTTTAAGGTCAACCCTCCAGCCCAACAATGTGGTCAGACTGGCTCCCAGGACTTTACTAACATCCTACAACAATAATTACATTTGTGTTATAAGTACCCTGTACACCATAGTTTGCAATAATCCAGAGACATAGACTACATAATTAATTAATGCAACAAAATTACATATTTAACATTAAGGTGAACACAAAGTGTCCAAGAAAATATCCTGTTTTTATTTACCTGTGTGCTGAAGTATCTGGACAGACTTCCACTACACTTGCAGCAGATTCTAAAAGTGACTGAGTCCACAGATGGTAGCAGCTTGTCTTGTTGGTCCATGGGTGTATCTTTTCAAATACGTACATAAATAAAATAGACCACTTGGATAACACAAATGGACATGACAAAAGGCTATATAAGCATAACTCTTACCATCTGGATTTCCATACTCCAGCCGTTGTCTTTTGCATCGACTGGAGTCTCCAGGATACCTGTCTTCAATCACTAAACTCTGCTCATCATTGTCTCCTCTTTTCCCTCCTACTGTTGCACTTGGTTGGACTTTATAGTTTGTGGATCTGTCTTTGAGCGCCCCCTGTAGGCTGAGCCATAACATTACAACTCTAGCCACTTCATTCTTATCTCCCGTCAGATAGGACTGCAGCAGAGAGGATGCCTTTGCTATAAGAAAACAAAAGTTATCACCAATAAAAAGGTAAGTTAAGTAGCGTAAATCGTATAGAGGAATTTGAACCTCGATTGATGTGGGCAGGTAGTTTTATCGGTGCCTCATGATTCAGTAACAGAAAAAGTCTCTCAGCTGATTTTAGATTGACGATGTTGTTGATGTTAGCAGAAGAACTGAAGATCACCTTTCCTTGCAAATGGATAACCTGAACACAAAAACAAAACAAAAAAACTACCACGTGGTCTGTCAAATAAAATTAAACTGTGAATAGAAAATGAGCATCCCGTGTAACTTGCACCAGTAAGAATAGCCAGTACTTACATCTTGTGCTGCAACTTTGCGTTTTACCTCCTCTACCAAAAATGACTCCATCCCGTTACCAGCAGTACAAAAATACCGCACAGGAACACTGCCATGATTCGAGTCAGTCATTTCTCATAGACTGCAGAAGTGTAAATAAAAATTACTTTAAAATTCTTCTTCACTACATGTGCAGCGCCATGTTGGATTTGGATATTTACGGCTGCAAAGGATACCAGTACCACTAGGGGTCACTGTTGCACTAATCCTTTAACCTTTTTATGTACTAATTTTTGTGCTGTGTTGTGAGTGTGAGTCAAATCGTGGATCTATAATAAGAAACAGAAATAGTTAAATCCCAATTGTTGTGTCCTTGGGCAACACACTCACCTTGTCAGAATAAGATGCAGTTTATTTCACATTGCCTAATGTTCTATTATAAATCAAAATGTCTCAGTGTTGCATTTTGTTGCAATGAATTCTCTTTACAGCAGGGGCCTGCTTGAAGTTGTATTTAACTCTGTCATTTTAGAGAAGCGCTTCTTTCTGTCGACCTTGTTCTACATGCATATTTAATTGCGGAACAGCAAAAATGTATAGTTCGGTGCAAATCAATTGAAAAAGGAGCTGAGTTTAGTTTGTCCAAGATGATAAAAACAGTGTGCAAGAAGTGCAGAACAGTGGCACAGGAGAGGAAACACACGAGTTGCCTGTGGTAAACACAGCAGCAATCTGACAGAAGTGATCCAAATCAACTACAGCAAAGACAAGCTGAAGTGAGAGGGAGGCAAGGAGCTTGGAGAAGAGAGAATGGGCTGAGATAGGTTGTTGACATAATTTCAGCCATAAAAATGGAAAAGGGAAAAACAAACAAACAATTCTTTGGTAGATGATAACTATAAACAAGAAGAAATAAAATGACTGCCTCACAGACTGAGAATCCAGAGTAAAAATAATTAAAACCAATAGGCTTCTAGCTGTTAGCATTTTCTATCTTAGCATGTATCTTTATTATTTCAACAGTAAATATACCATTTCAGCCCACATCTTCCCTCCTCTATAGATAACACGGCACGGTGTGAGGCATGACAGGGCACAAGCCCTTGTCCCACTTAACAAAGAGCAGCTTTCACACTGAACATAAAATCCCAAATCCCTCTGTGCTAGACTTCAAGTTGAGTTAAAGACATCAACATCACTTCACCACCACCAGGGCTGCTGTTCCAGTTACAGTGAAAGGAAAATCTTAGAGCCCTTGGCCTATTTTCCAATGTTTAACCCAGACTATAAAGCTATTAGTAAGATCCCAAAGGGTCTTCGTGGTCCCTTGGTGCAATAAGGATTAGTTTCATTTAATTTACCAGAGATTTACATGGTGGCCAAAAGGCTTTGGCAAAGAGGTAAGCAAACAGCTAAACAAATTAATGTTTTTTGTGCCATAGAGATTGTAGTTTCCACTTATTGCCGCTAGGTGGAGATGTAGGTTTAGTGGTGTGTACATTTTTAGGCAGTGCTGTCTTGGTTGATCTCTTTGCTACAGAATGGGAGGAAGAACAGTGCTGGATTTGTGAATGGCCAAAATGAAGTTGCATTTTCAGTTTGTAAGTAACTTTTATTTTACTGAAATTGTGCTTGGCAGCAGAGCTGAGCTGCAAGTATTGTATTGTCATTATGTAGATTATGTTTGTATATGTATGCATATGCACCAGAAACCCAAAAACACAAGGGGTTTTTTGTGACTAAAAATAGCCTGGCATCTCATGTGAGAGGCAGCTGATGCATGATGTTTACTGTTCATGCTGTGGTGTGTGTGGCTTATATATTGGATTGTAGTTTACAGTTTACTGTACATTGTTGCCACTGTATGATTAGGTTGTCGTCTTACTCACTTTACTAAATCAAACTAAACTCTGTAATTCTCTGTTTTCTAACTCATACCTTGTTTTTTGTACTTAACTTTTTTGCAGTAGTCACCCACATCTTGCCTTCAAATCCCAAAGCATCATGGGGCAGCTGTTTTCCTCAGAAGAAGAGCTCTCTCAATTCCAGGAGGTGATTGGTGCGATCTTGTTCGATGCCATGTTGGATGCTGGTGCCGTCCCTAACCTCAGAGTGGTTCACCCTCTGCTGCTGGCCAACTACAGCGAAGGCTCACAAACAGGACCCTCCATCCAGGAACAAATGCATCAGGTTTGTGTTTTTTTCTTTTATAGACACCCAGTTAACAAGAAAGAGGATGTCTAATGTCTCTATTGATGAGAATTTTCTGTACACACCAGGAGACAGTTAAATCGTCTCTGAACAGATTTGAAAACACTTGAAGAGCTGTTCCTGCTGTGTGAACATTGATTAGTTTAGTCGTAAACAACATTTGAGAACTCAAACTGTCTATCTACACAAGGCCTCAAATGTATGTTTATTTGATTATTTTCCCTGATTAATTACATTTTCTGGTTAATTCCTGATTCTGTTTTCAGTGACTTGTAATGTTACTACAATACGAAAAGTCAGTTACAATACAAAACTATGATAGTTTCTTTAAAGGTGCATTATAAAACTTTTCAGGTGGAGGGCCCATCCAAAACCTTTTTTTTTCATAGAGATGTTATTGGTTTGTCTGGAATGTTTCTCAATATGGCATTAAATCTTTAAAGAGACCAAATCAGACGAAGTCACAGGTCAGATCTGTGGGGAGGAATGCCTACTCAGTCAGAATGTTTGTTTTTCTAGATATTTTTGAGCTATAAAACCACCTGTAACAGAATGATTGCAAGATAGAGCTGTGACAGACATATCTGTTGGAACAAGCAGGTGATAGACCCTCCACCAGAAAGTTACAAAGTGCATCTTTAAAATTGCCACATGGTCTCATGTTCAAGAAAGTTCTGAAAATGATTACCTTTGTATGAATAGCTTCATTATTGATTTTCGATACTTGACAACCTTAGTTTGTTCTAGTTGCAGAGAGACATTGGAAGCCGAGCACCTACCTATTTGAGGGATCTGATTGGTCGACTATCAGCCTTCACAGATGAGCCCAGACTGGCTGGTTTGGTGGGGTCAGTGGTTTCGATGGTTATAGACATGGCATATGCATCGTCTAAACCACCATCCGGGAAGTCCTCTGGCTCATCCTCTCGACAGGTAATGTTCAGGTAATAGAAATAATTAACTGTGAAATAAGCCAGATCATGAAAGAATATGTTGTGTGTTTTCTGCAGAGAGTCTGTGAGCTGCAGGAGCTGATGGAGGAGTACCTGAAGCGCTGTCGGATTAACTTGAATGATAAAAGTAAATTAATGCAGGACACATCCAGACTGGAGGCCCAGCTCAGTCTGAACCTCACCCAGCTTAAAACATGTTTGCTTGGAGGTGACTGTGATTCCAGGTGAGAAAATTTATTGAAGAAATTTCATTGGCTACATACACATTCCTGTATATAATAATATCTACCAAAAAACTGGTTAATACTTTCTATAACAAAGTGCCCTCTTTTGTGTTGTTTCCAGATCTCTCAGGCAGTGGGCCAGTGGAGCAGCCTTTCACACCCAAATGTTGGTACATCTGGCTGGACTCGACGGTCAGATGGAGCCCCTGGCTGCAATGGGTGCACTGTCGCAGTATAGAGAAGATCTGGAACAAATTATTCCTGTCTATAGGTATGATACAGCAATACATTTTTAAGTTATTAAAAGGTAATGGGCCACACATATCATGATTAAATTGTTAGGCATTATTAACAAAGTATAGATAATTAATGAATATAATAGACAAACCTATTTTTCACTATTTTATGAATCACCAGCACCCCCTGCTGGCAAGACAGCACTTCTTTTTTTGTACCTAAAGGCCTAAATGTCCAAATTAGTATGAGGTATTCTGAAGCCCATTATTAAAAAATACTACATTTAAAGGGCTTGCTATTTTATGAAACTATATTTTGTACTACGTTTTTTTTAAGTTTGTGAATGCACCTTTCAATTTTAATACTTAGTACTTATATGTACTTTTATTTTATAGTAGGTAGATATTGTTTTTTTTATTAAATATTACAATCTCACATCACATCAAGTCAGTACAAACACTTTTAATGTGTGTACTATGTCACCTTGAAGGAAATATAAAGCCAGTACAGTCAGTGTGATGAAATGTCGAGGCAGTCTTTCAGCTTCATGTGAAGAGTTCAGTGATGTACCTGAGGAAGGAGCCATGACAGGTCTGACTGTAACTGACCGAGAAACTGGAGTGAGCGTGACTATACCTCTATGTGACCTGCAAACACAAACAGGTGCCTCTAATATCTCAAAAACAAGTGCAAAGTGATTTATCTCACTTCATTTGTTTGTGACTGGACTGTTTTAAATTTAACAGGGAGAAGATTAGAGGCTGGTATGAGTGATGGTGCTTCCAATACGTCCATTAACCTTGACTTAATCTCATCCGATCACTACGCACAAGCTTACCTGCATCACTTTTTTTCCGACAAGGGACCGGTGTCTAAAGTTGAGATATATTTCACCAAAGCAAATGACAGTCTGACCACCTTTACGACTAAACCTAACAAGGCTAACAGAACTGGGGAGAGAACTGGGTTAGGACAAGAGAATGGGGTCCATGTTACATACATTGCAGAGTCAGGGGAAGGTCAATCAGGGCTTGTGGAGGTCAAAGGTGAAGAGATGGACTCTACAGAGAGCACACGAAACCCTGAATCTGGTACACTTGAAAATAAAAGTCTGAAGCTCAGTATAGTAGAGACGCTAACCCAGTGTTAGCAGACATCAGTAGAGTAGCCAGAGTTTGTTCTCAAGTGACCCTTAAAAATCAGATTTATGATTTTTGACTGAATGTAGTCTGACAGATGGAACCTTAAACTATGCAGAGATCACTGGATTTTCAAAGAATAGACACAAAAATTAAAACTAATTGTATCTGAAGGTAAGGTTTAAGAAGTGCAAATGTTCAAATCATTTAACATTGTCAACTCCAAGCGCTTATTCTCCAGAAACTTCTCACAGTGGGAAGAGTAACCTAAATGTTCTCAACTCAACATGAAGACGTAAAAGTATGATGTCAGAAAACTACTCTCAAAAACAAAATTTCTTCAAAAGGTTACTCAAGTAAATGTAACAGAGTACAAATTACCTCTGAGTGTTTGTCAGCAAGAAAACAAAGGCATGCAATATTGCCTTTTCATTAATAAAGGATGTTGACCAGACTGATAAAGCATAGAGGAGTAACATTGTCAAACGTTAACCATGATTACATTTTTTGATTGAATATTTATAATTTATGATTAAATTATATAATGTATATGCAACATGCTTGAAATGTTAGATGATGCCAAATGAAGAATAATATTTTACAGTTACTTGAACTATGATTTTTTTTTTTTTCTTTTTGGTGTGTTTTCCAATCTTATATCCATAGTTTTTAAGTAACCATAGACACTATAAGTAATTTGAGCATTGCTAAGTTGCTTATAATTTTTTGCTTTTGAAGGCATCAGTATGAATTTTGTATTGTTTTGTGCAATTTAATTACTATTATGCTTGTTTGTACAGTATAAATAAGTATATTCACTGCATTATAAGCCTTATCTTGATCATAATACATGAAGTGCTGACCTATGCAAGAATTTAAGTCATAGAAGGCTCTTTTCACTTGTGGACTTTGCAAATGTTGCTTGAAGAACACTGCAATTTATGTTTCCATGGTAACGTGACACTGAAAATAATAACTGCATCATGCCATAAATACAAATAAATAAGATATGAAATGGACATCTGTGTATTTTCTCTTTTTTTTTTCACTGCCTGCGCCTCTAAAACCATCAGCATGTTTATTTAGTCCATAAGAATAACACAGTAATGAAACGGTGAAACTTGCGTGACGTTGACTAAAGCACTGGCACTTTGTTGGAGTGTTTGTGCCTGGGAAAGGTTGAAAGCGGGCGTTTTTCTCTGGGTCCTTTAGTGGCTGTGCAGCAGGTGGGCGAGTGGAGCAGGCGGGAGCTCTTATAATGTGGCGTGGCTGGCAGCACTGTGTGAATGTCAAGCATGTTTGTGTGGATTTAAATGTAGGTGTGCTGAAGAGTGGATTGGATTAGAGAGGGAAGCAGTGGAGACAGGAAGTGATGGAGGCAGGGGCGTGTGGGATATGTCTGTCCTGACACAGAAAGCCAGTGTTTTTTTAGTGATTTTGGAGAGAGTGAAAAGTTCAGTTTGAGTAACTCTGAATTAGGTTGCAAGGTGTGGGGGAAAGTGCAAAATTGACAAAATTACTACTTCATATCTTACATTACCTTCCATTTTTATAGTATTTTTTTTATGACAAATACGGGGATGCAACTAATGATTATTTTAGTAATCGACTAGTCAGTGATTTTTTTCATTATGAATGTTTTTATTGCACTGAAAAACAAATAAAAGCATATGTCCTTATTGAGCAGCTATACAAACCTGACTCTTTGGCCTTGGGGGAGGGCGTCATCGTGCTTGTTTCCATGGAAATGTTGTTCCTTTGACTTTATGGTTTTAAATTTGTTGCCATGGAATCATAAAGTTGACTTTCTGCCACCAGAAAGTTACATACTATCACTTTAAGGTTAGTACAAAATCACAAAATGTAAATTCTTCCTGTCCTTTTTATTTGACAATAATCCATCATTTTCCTAGTAAATGACAAGATTTAACAACTGATGATTTAATCTGAGTATTTAATATGGGAATTTGAATGTTTAATTTGTCACAATTATTTCATTTTGTTGTTGCGGCCCTACAGATACAGGGAATGCCATGTTATCAAAATTTTGTGTGAGAATAGATGTCATAATGTTACTATTAGTATTAACACTATGACCAAACAACAGTAAGATCCTTTCATAAGTATGTGACCTGCTTGATGAAATAATGTAAATGATGACACATATTCATGCATACATAAAGGGACATTAGCCTACAGCTTATCAAACTCAGACATGACCTACGTGTGATGAAGGTGTCAGAAGAGTTGATAGTGTGTCATACCCATCTTGTTAAAACTAATCTGCAGTGACAGTGTCAAAGAAAACACATCTGAAGAGCTTTTACATGTAGTCCAGTGTGTGTGTGTGTGTGTGTGTGTTTATGTCAGACCTGTGATGACTCAATACACAGCTGCAATTACAGCCCTGTTCTCACTAATGCAGTCTGAATACTCCTATCACCCTTTTACTCTTTATTCTTTGCTCTCTGTCTCCCACTCACTAGTAGATTAGTTTGATTTTTCAAATTGTAATGCTAATGACAAAAATGTAGACTTTTGCCTTTCTCTGATTTCACAAAACTGAATAGAATTTGTGCTTTTGATTTAAATGACATTGATTTAGCCTGTGTCACCCGTACTTTTGTCAAGCTTTATTACTGGTGTATTTGCCCATTATGAGGGACAGATCGGGGGAACCTTTTTTGAAATAAGTTCATAATCTTCATTTATTATCTTATCTTGGCTGCAGATACAGTCTTTGTTATTTGAGCCAAACACTCAATCACATCTGCCTTATTTTTCATTATTATAGCAATATCTCCCACTTAATATTTTAATATTTCTACCTGAAATAGTACTTTTTTTATTTATTTTTTTTACTTTTTTCCTAAGGTTGCTGTTTCTTTGCTAAAACTATTATGCATCTCTGAGTCTTGATTGGTGCATTAATCTGTACATGTGCCTCGGTTGGTTGTTGTAGAACATGTCTCCAAGGAAACAAGACAAAATTGCCACGGTAACTCGACATCATCTCAACGCCTACAGCCTCTCAGGAGACGAGCCGTGACACAGAGTAACACTGTGGGACTGTGCATGTGACTGTTTCCTCTGTGTAGCCTACTGCATATGTGAGCGAGTGGGAGTGAGGTGGGTTTTAAGTACACAAGGAAAAAAGAGTAGTTAAGGAAGAGGTCAAAGGTCAGATTAAAGTGAATATGAAAAGACTGAATAAAGCAGCAAACAGAAAAGCAATACTGACAACTTGTGTTGAATCATATACCTGCATTTTATACAAAGAGCTTTGCTGTCTTTTGGAACATTTCTGCGTCATTAGACCAGGCTTGAAGTCGATCAGATTAGCTGCTTTATAGAAAGTCTGGGTATTCAGTGTTTGCCTGTCATTTATTATAACAATATTAAAGGCATACTATGTAACGTTTCTGATGAAGGGTCTGTCACTTGCTGGTCTCCATGGAGATCTTATTTTTTTGCCTGAATTATTCCACAGTACAGCATTTAAGATAAGAAGTGTACAGTAAGAATGTCTATTTTACACACACACACTGAAATAAACACTATGGATGCTTTTAATGCTATACTGTGGAACAGTATAGCATTAAATCATCAGAAAATTCACATCATGCCCCTTTAAATTGAATAGCATATTTGAATGCTTTTCACTATTAACAGAGATATATCACATTTAGTCCTTTACTGGAGGAACATAACACAAAATGCAGAGCCACACATAAATGCACAGAGAGATGGGGTTGAGGGTTCAGGCGCTGGTATTTGGCTGACATTTCATTTCTGTGGGTCTAATGCATGTGAAACACCTACTCCAACAAATCTGCACACATGTTTCAGAACTACACACAAAACACTTACACCACCATTTTGTGCACATGACCAAGTCAACTCTTATATGCTTTTACATCACACGCACATGTATGCTCTGTAATGGGGTTTACCTCTTTAGAGGGAGACTGTGGCATTTATGTACAAATAAATGCTGTGATTTGTTGTATGAAGGGTAAGGGTCAGAGCATTCACAAATCAGGCAATATCACTACCTGCCTTTTATTGATGGTAATGATGATATATATATATATATATATATATATATATATATATATATATATATATATATATATATATATATATATATATATATATATATATATATATATATATATATATATATATATATATATATATATATATATATATATATATATATATATATACATATACACACATACACATACATATATATACATGTATATATAGTTTTAGTTACACATGGACATCTCATTGCCTTGCCATAAACAATTTTATTATCTTCACTCTCCCACTTTGTAGACAACTTACCAGAAACATGGATGCCACAGTAAAAGATAATTTGTTTAATTTGACTGGGAAAAAGTGGCTTGACCTCCCCAGGTCATGAGCATGAGAATGGCAGATTGTTTTAGTGAAAAAGAACTGAGCTGAAAGGCTGTGAAGTTTGGATGTCCTCTGCTGCTCCCACTGGAGGAGAGCACAGACCCAGGACAAACAGGAGAGACAGAGCCTCTCTGTGGCCTGGGAATGTCTTGGAATCCTCTTGGAGGAGCTGGAGGAAGTGTGGACTTGTAGAAAGGCGAGTCCTTAGACAGCTGTCACTGAGCCCAGTGTAGGATGAGCAGAAGACCGTGGATGGATCAATGTTCACATCATTTCTCTATATAGTGATTGTATTGTTATGGCTAATTTTATGGGAATAAAATATAATTGTGACCTCCATTATTAATGGAAGCTGACACAACCTATGTGAAGGTCTTGATGAGGCAATTATTGCATCTGTCATATTCAATCCATGAAGAATGACAGGAGAGTAGATGTAACTTAATGAAAATATCTAGAAAATCACAGAAAAATATCTCCTTTATATCTTGATGAACAGAATTTTCAACCTGAGACTGAACTAACGTGGAAAATATTAATTTTATCCTTTGGTATTATACATACACCTCTGTCTAGTTCATGTTTTCACCTAGCTGTTTCTTTGTATTGGATGATTATTTCACTGCTAGACAGACACTATAATTTTCAGGAAAAAAATTGCAATATGATGCAAATATACTTATATGCAAATATCAATTGCTCGATGTGCTTGTCTGTGCAAAGACACATACAAAAGTTGTTTCACTGAACGAAAGGAGGCACGGGTCGTGTAATGGCAGTTTTTCTTTTGATATAGATGTGAACAGTTACATTTGACACCTTGTGCATTCACAGTCATTATTATTGGCTTCCACACCACTGCCTACTGAAAGCACATGACCATCAAGGGCCTGTCTGCAAATGAGATGTGACAGTGTAATGGTGTTTCAGGCAGCACTTAATATCCAGGGCCCATGTAAACAAACACCTGAGCTGTACCACCCGCTCTGTTCTGCTGACTCACTCAGGCTCGATGCATGGCCACATCTGATTATAAAACATGAAAAAGAGCATTCCCAAAGCACAAATAAGATTTTCATTGTTATAGAACGTATCCATCATTCGAGCGGCCCTGGCAAAGAGTGGGAATGATCCATCACTGTGGCAGCACAAAGCAAACAACGTGGCATTCTGGGATTGCAGACTCTGGAAAGGTTTAATCAAAATGTCATTGGAAACCTCAATACTGTGATAGTATGCAACTGTTTTACATGCCACAGTGCAAACGCTTACAGCTGACTAAATGACAAAACATATGGAGTTCTCGTCCTGTTTTAGGAACATTAAAGTTAGTTACTAGATATGGAACCTTGAAAAAACTCAGTGCAGTGGTTCAAACTGTGGTGCAAAAGCTCTTTCAGATCTTACTTGGGTTCTACCGATTTAGAACTAGGATGACTTTGAATAATCTTTTGTTAGACCTGGTTTAGACCTGGTGGTACTTGGAAGACCAAATATTTTTTTAGGTGGGAATCATCATGGGGAAGACAGTTAAACTAGCCTATAACCAACATTCTTAGATTTATTAATATAAACATGCAGCACTAATGAAATGCAAAAATGCTTTAAATGAGTCTGGCATACAGGGCATTTTACCTGTGATGCAACAATCATGACAAAATTCAAACCAGGACTTTTTACAAAGGATTACTGAATCTAATATGAATGAAGCCAAACACACCAGTTTTTTGATGAGGGAACAATATTACAACATGATTAAATGCAAAAAAAAGCTGCATATGTGTTCTTAAAAATAATCATTTATTTAAATGTGGGCTTCTCTGAACAATAACTTAATGATACTATGTCCATTAAGAAAGGTTTACAAGACCAGTCATTTATTATCATTTTGTAGACTCTATTCAAAATGTGAGACAAAAACGTAATCATAAGTGGAGCAGTGCGCCTCCATCTTACAAAGACGTCTAATGAGACGTCTGCCATTCAAACAAATGCCATTTCTATTGTCCACACTCACAATAGAAAATGAGTGTTTGTTGGCTTTGGGACAGTGCCTGGAAGAACACAATATACCACTGGTTGTAATTACATGCACTTAATCAATCACTCTGTAAATGCAAATAATTATAGGTCTTGTCATTATGAGTATGACACAGGCATACTACAGAAAAAACATGGAGACCGCTCTGAAACAGGGTATCCCAAACTTTATTTTGTTTTATCAGAATGTACCATGAAGAGCAGTCACAGTTAGTGGCATTAACAAATTATAACACAGGCACGCTAAAGTCTGAACAAAAACAATTCTTAAACATTATCTTGTTAACTTGGAGTCAATTGAAAAAGTCTCACGCACTCCGGATGACAGACCATAGAGAGGAGGAGAGGTGGAGAGATAGAAAGGGTTGAAAATAATGGGAAAGAAATGCTATAGGACTGAATCACACATGGCTCAGGAGAAAATGTATTTAGCAAGATGTGCTAAAGACAATACTGATGTAGCCAGATGCACTTAAAGGGATGTTTTGTATTGGTTGAGGTATTGGTTACACATTGTTAAAAGTTTACATAACTGGTTTAGAGAAGCACAAATGAGCCTTTACCAGTAAGCTATAAAGCAGCATATGGGCCTTTGATGGAACATATTTTGGATAGTAGAGTAGATGCTAAAAATATATTAGTTTTTCCTCTTAGTTTTCAACCATCTTCATAATGTTTCTGCAATTAATATACTGTTTTCCTCTTCCAAGTGCATATTTTAAACATAAAGTCTAAAATAACATCTCTTTGTTGCTTATAGGCCAAAACAGTCATATATAGTCTCACATTTATTTTTATTTTACAGTTAATTTCACAATGTACTAATGACGAAAATCTGATCTCAATCTGATTCAAATCTTCCTTATGAACACCTCACTGATGGTAAAATGGTCAAATGTTGTCTGCTTCTTCAAACCAGCGTATATGTATTTCAGTAATCCACAAAATGTCAGTTATTAATCTCAACTATCCCTTTAAGTCGGCAACAAAAACTTTGGTTATGAGAATAGGCATGATGACAAGGAAAAGAGAAAGGCCAAGATAGAGAAACAAGCTTTTAAGCCAAACTACAACTTCTCCAAAAAGGCAATATATGTCATTCTTGAGTGTAGTGAGTGCTTTGAACTCATTGAAATAAATATGCAGTTAATTCTCTATGGTTAGATGGCCACACAGCCCATCTCACTTATAACACTGTACATTATATACACAATATGTTTTATTATTATTCTTTCATGACAAAATAACCTTTAGATATACATACGGTCTTCTTCTTTCTGTCAGAGAATACAGCCACGGTATTAGAAGTAGCAAGCAGTGTCTTTTTTGTACAAACAACCCATGCAAATCCCCTATACTTTATTTAAGATACATACTAGCTCCTTAAGAATCTCATCTCTCATTCAATAACAGCAGATATTGCCTTTTTAACCAAAAATAATTAATGTGCAAGTTACTTCAAAACGTTTCTTTAAATTAAATCTACTACTTACATAAAAATGTAACTCAAAACAGAAAAATCTCGAATCTGTACAACATTCGAACCATTTTTTGTCAACAACCAGGGGAATGGGGGGGATACAATTCTCTATTACTATATACAGACGTGTTAGCATTCATGCACAGTGTCAACAAGTAGCACATTGACATTCCAAAATATGGAAAAACATGACAAAGGGGATTGTGGGGAGGAGGAAGTAGGGAGGAAGTTACAGGCAAAACAAAACTGCCGGATTTGTTACTTTGGCAGCAAGGTAGAAATCTCAAGACACACATTGGGTAGAGAGGAGAGAGAGAGACACCATAACAATACACGTGCTGGGTAGGAGAAGTTCGCTTGAGTCTCACTGACCCAGGAATCAACATATGGCTGTATCTTCATGTATTTTTTAAATCTTCCATTTTAAAATTCTTCCTTCGCTTGTGTAACTCAGTTTATTGACACTGGCTGCAGCAACAGTGAAATGTCACCAATGTCACCAAAGAGTGTCCGTCCTGTTTCATCATTAGAGTTCTATTTACTTGGTGGTGTGTTCACTGCCCAGGAAGGCATTTGAACACATCATAACTGACAACAAAGTTTTCTTTTTACATCGTTGTTTTGTGTACATTTGAGTAAAAAAAAACTTGAAACACCCAAAGCAGTATGACCAGTGCAGAGCATTGCCTTCATTTTCCAAAAAAATCTATTATACAACCCCTTCTTTATTTTGAATTCAGATAAACGTATTTACAGACTACCTATTATTCTAGATTTCAGGAGACTAAACCAGGACATGGATATTAAACAGCTGATTTAGTTTGTCCAGGTTTTTTTTTTTCATGTTTGACTAGTCTTACTGCTTTTATATTGGGACATAGTATTGACCTAACACTCTTAAAATAAAAATCTTAGCCTTAAGGTAATGCAAACATTTATAATAGGAAATTGTCATTCCTCAAAATGTCAACTTATCATTTCGACAGCAGGCACAAATTAAAGTCTACCAATATATTTTGACTCCCATTACAACCATTGTTGCACAAGCTACCTTTTAACAGTGTATAAACCATAGCTCCATGCCAGTGAAGAGACATACAAATAGAATAGAAAAGTCTCAATTTTAGATTTTTTTTATGAATGCTTTATGAAGAAACTTGAGATTTTACGAAAGCTTTGAAAGCGGGACTGCAAAGCTGATAAAAAGGTTCCCTTTGGCAAAACAGGGGTAAACTGCCACTCAAAGGCCTTTGTCATGTGTGACACGTAATGTCACTGATTCAATTCAACAATTTGGTTTGGCAATATGGGAATAAACTCTACAAAGTTTTTACCTATGGAAATTACATAAATTTGCCAATTTTCTTGAATCCAGGGCTTCCCGAAAGAGAATCAAATTCAATTTATTTTGCAGTTGTAATATCTTATATTAAATAAGAGGATGATGGTAATCTTCTCTCACCTGCGAAGGCTGTTTTACAAATGTTTATCTACACAAGTTTACATGATCATTTTGAGGCTACACAAGAGTAGCAGATTGAGTTAACAGTCTCAAGTGTAAACATCTCAATAATAAATGCTCGAAACATTTTAACGGGATGAAATGTTTAGGATGAACAGCTTTTTTCTGCCATAATTGTTTTAACAAATATGATGTAACAAAATATAGATTTCTTTGGGTTTAAGCTTTTAAAATCTGATCCAATTAAAATTTTCAATATAATATTTAATATATCATTTATATGTCATTTAAATTATTTTATTTGCCTCTGCTTCTGCAGCACCTACAGCTGTTTCTGAAAAGATGATGTGTTTCCCAATTGAGCATTTCTTAAGACCTACCATCTGAGTAACGTCATAACATAGATCTTTTTTACAAAGCCCTTAAAGATTTCTGATTGGTCCACAGACCAGCCTGGGGAGTGGCCAAAACATAGATACAGGAAGAAGCTGCTAAATGAATAAATTTAAAGCAGCTATGCAGTATATACAACAACTGAACCTGATGTCAGTACTCATGTTTTGAAAATCTATTGCAGAAAAGATGGCTATTTATGAGTGAATTAAACAGTTTTTGACGGTAGCTTGACCTGCTTTCTGTGGTTGAAGCAGGCCTTTTTAAAGGTAAATGCACACAATTCCTTTCCTTGATTGACCTTGAATCATTTACACGTACTGAATAAAACAAACCATAAGGGCCTGTTCCCGAGTGCACAGCATAAACCAAAGACATTCAGAGCGAGCTGCTATGCAATTCAGCTCAGAATATTTACATTTCGTTCACTTCATTGAATGCACTTTCCGCTCAGAAGCCTCGCTCAGCACTTTGTACAGGAACTGGACGGGGCTTATGTCGGAGAGACGTCATACAAAAACAGCACAGCATAACAAGATTTTTTTCACAGTACTTCACCATCTTCAACCACGACACACTGGTACATGAACACACAGTCGCAACTCAACACACGCACACATATTTTCAATGGACGTTGTAGCGATATGTCCGGTACTTCAGGCTTCAACAGTATGTTGTGGTCTTCGATGGTCTCACAGTGCAAAGTAAAGTTACTGCACTGGTATGGTAGAAGCGTATACGACTCAGTTAATGTCACAATGATCTGTTAGGTTGGTTTCAACAACTGTTAATTCCTTCCGCGGAGCATTTTGTGTGAACTCCGATGTTGCTGGTCTTTGAAATTTTCCTCTCTGTCGACTTAAGATTTACACACACAGTCCAAAACTGGCTATTATTCCACAGCATATAAGGAGGGACCAGCAATGCAGCCTTCATATCTACTTCATATCAACGCATTATTTATCTTTTTGCTCCATACTGCTGCCTTAGTCCTCACCTTTGTATTGTATTGTATTGAACTCCATGTTTAGAAGCCCTGGATGTGGCAGTAGGCTTCCAATGAAGAGAACAGGATGTAGAGGAGCCACAAGCTAACAAAGAGCATGCTGGTCAGGACCTTGGCAGTCCGGGGCCCTCCCAGCTCCCCTCCGATCTCTGGCCTCCTCCGGTACATGAGCACGGACACGGAGACGAAGGCAAAGATGGTGAAGAGCGTGACGGAGAAAGCCAGCGTGCCCGGGTCCACCCTGAAGTCCCGGCCTTGGCTGTTGTGGTAGATGGCGGCAATGGACCACGCCACCTGGATTAAAGAGAAATTTGTAAATGTCCTATATTATGCAAAATGGATTCTAGTGAGCTTTAAGTCATGTTAGACTGTACTGTCCTCCTCAAAAACATACCTGGCGTTGTGTTTTGTTTCATTCACACGTTTGAGTAATCCTGTATTATTATCTTGTCTACATCTCCAAAGAGCAGAATGATTTGTTCCACTTTATGTTATCATGAAGCAATAGTTTTGAAGTTAACAGCTACCTTTTACCTTTAGTTTAGTGGATATAGACAAATCCAGGGCTGAAATAATCAAAATTATTCTAATGAAGATGTATGGAGCTTAGAAACCCATTAGAGCACTTCCTGTATTACCACATGACATCACAAAGTAGAACAGTGTTAACTCTGGTAACTCAGCCAACATATGCAAAGTTTGTGAGTTAAAAATTTGTGAATAAAACAAAACAGGAGGAGGAAACAACATTTTAATATAGGTCCTTTAAAAACAAAAAACACATATTATGGATTCTTGTGGCTTTAATTTCCTTTTAAACATGCCTTCATCACCTTGGGCTAAGCTTTTCACATTTTCTAAATTAACTTAATAATGTAATCATTTGGAAAACACACTTTATAAACTACACCTCTGTTTCCAATGAGGTATTTAGGAATTGGAGTCCCCTCTAATGTCAGCAATGGGAATGAGAAATGGGAAAATAAACAAACGAAGCAATGTGAATGCTAGGCCAATAGAGCTATGAGATCATTGTGAACACAGTTTGACTAGAGAACGAGTCAAAAGATTGCTTAAAAACTGAGTAGAAGTTCAGATTTGGTGTGTGTTGCAACAATCTGGGTAAAATATGAGCATACAGAGCAATTTTGAGTGCTCAGAGAGGACAACATGGATTAATGAAACAAGCATGAATGAAGCAAAATACAACTCCAGGTATGTATTTGATGATTTTTGCATAATATGTGTCCTTTAAGTTGAAGAGTAATACAGTGATAAATGATGTTTTATAGATATCTCAGGTCTGAACTCACCCCGATGCCCAGGAACACGTTGACAGCATTGGATCCTGTCACGTTCCCGATAGAGGCGTCCGCGTACTGGTCCTGGATTGCAGCAACTTTACTGGCAAATGTATCTGTAGAAAAAGACAGAACAGGATTTGAAATTTTAAAAAGATTTCCGACAAACATATCAGACTTTATTTCCTGTTTATGTTGCATTATATGAGCTATGTTTGGTTCAGATTAATATTAGAAAATAAGCCCTACAAGATGGGGCTATTTCTAATAATATCCAAACAGATCAACCCTCTCTTTTTTAAAGTGAACATTCAAATTAAAATCCAAGTTTGGCATGCACTTTTGACCTTTGCTAAGCCTTGAATTACTAATATGCCAATTAGTCAGTCTGCTCCTGATCAACAAAGAACACTTACGATTATTAAAACACATCTCTGTACAAATCCAGTTTTCTTCATTTAGATGGAGAAGCTTAAATTAGACTTCTTTTTAATCCTGTTATGAGCCTGGGCGCTGTCAGCCATCTTGGCCCAGATTCGTCCAAGATCAATTATAGTTGCAAGGTTGTGTCATGGTTTCGGTGGCAAAAAAGGATTTCAGGGGTCCAACCATGAATCAGTTCAGTGTCTTATTCAATGTTGTATCCTCGGTTTGAGTTTCTCTGGGATATGCTAGTTAGTAAGAGGGTTCTGCCAAGTTTTGCAATAACTCCTGATCAAAATAAGTACAAAACTCGTCCAAACATCCAGCTGGTTACTTAGTGCCATTTGTCCTTTAATTTTTTGGCTACTATTTGAATCATGTATTTCGATTTTCTGTCATATGAAAGAAGAATCATAATTGCAAAATGGGAACAGCCAAGAAAATATTAGTAGGGATGCAGAAGTGTGAAGAGAAAGGCATTGGTCCAAGTTTGGAGCTCAGTGTTAATAAATCTAACCCCAGACCTTAAAAGCTTCAAGGACAGTCCTGCTGGGCTGTATGTGTGTGTGTGTGTCTAGATTCAGAGTAGATTTGCTGCATAAACAGTTGTGTGTGTGTGTTTGCAAAAAGCCACCTGGGTCTGTTGTGAATCCAGGCCTCCTCCAGCTGGCAAGAGCATTGTTATAGCTATTAAATTCATTGCAAAATAATGACAGAGTAGATTAGGGTCTGCGTGCAGCGAGAGTTAAAGTGCGTATATCAGATTCTTATGATTCTCTAATTTTGATGTCATTTGGTGGGATTATAACTAAACTGTAAATATAAATGAGAGTTTTACACAAATCAAGAAGCAATTTGTGAAGAAAAGTTGAAAATATGTTATTTTCAGATATTTTAAACATGGTTTCAGCAAAATAAAGGTGCTTTCTTATATGCGTATTGGGAAACACATGACTTAGAGTATGTATGTCATTGCTGAGGTTAGTAACAGAGACTAAAGGGCCCTTCACAGAGGAGGTGGCAAGCGTGACAGCAGATTCAATTTGTTTTGTATTTGTCAGCTCAAAACTACAGAGCACACAGGCTGTGGAGGTGAATGTCACACAGAGATGTCAGCTCTCTGCCAGTAAAAAGTCTGTTGTGACAAACCACAAGAAAACACATCATCTGCTAATTACACAAAGCACTTCCTGGTTGGAATTGTTGTCATGCCAATAGCACAGATGCTCAGCTTTGCGACATGTGTCTGAGGTGAAAGGAAACAGCATTGACTTCTATCGTAAACATGTCTAAATGTTTCTCTTACACAATTTCAATTCACAAACACTTCATGGTCTAATTGAATGGTGCTTTAAAAAGTAAATCCTGTGCCAAATATATCAACTACAGCTCTGGCTTTTTCACTGATAATGATATGAATAATAATGATAATGAATACACTGATATGTGTTTTTTTCATGACTGAAGCTGATACCGATTGTATTTAACCTAGTGCTACTGATCACCAATAAGATCTGCCGATATTTTGAGCCAATATATAGTGCAGATTCAGATTAGTTTCCTCAAATTATATGATTTAATTTACTACTACTAAATGAACTCACCCACAGCTGTTATTTTCTTTTTTTTTTAACCACAATTATTTAAGAGTGTAGTGTAGTCACTTTTAATGCAGTTTTCAAGTGTTAAAATGCTTTGTGTGTATGTTCTATCTAAGGCGCAAACTGACCAAAATATTGATCCAAATATTGGCCCGATATATTGGTCTATCTCAACACACAAGCCTTAGGGTCTACAACTATGCTCTGACACACTGACACAGATAAAGCCAACCCTAACTATAAGTGTAGGTTTATGTAAATATTGTTCTTTATAAACTTTCTCTGTCCTCTGCTGTGAGCATTACTATATCGACTTGCTGTTCAATAAATGGAAGCTGGAACAATATATATTTATCATGTTATATGAATTTATTTGTAGTTTTGTTATAATATGAAAAAATATAAAACTTCTGTAGCTATTTATTGCTTCATTCTGCTATTTATTTGTTGCAGCTCATGCCATTTAATTGTACTGTCTATTTAAAAATGGTTTACGCGGATTATCTTGCATTATTGTTATTGTGGCAGTGGCATAAAGTAGCTTCATTATTATTGTTTATTCTTACTTCAAAATGTGTTATTGTGACAGACCTGGGTTTAGGAAATGCTTTATCACCTGGTGTGTGGCATTAAACTTATCTATCTTGCCTTTATTCAGTCACAGGTGTTTTTGTTGCTTTTTCTTTTACTACTTTGTGTACACATTTTGGCCTGTGCATGCGTGTTAGCCAGTTAACCAGGCAAACTGTGATGAATGAGGTTAATCACAGTGGAAGCATGGTGCAGGAGAGCTTTTATTAACTGTAATAGCCACCCAGAACCAAGAGCTCCTTCTCTATGGGATTGCCACAGGAGGCCACGCTAATAAGGTTGCTATCCCCCGACCAAAACCTTCAGGCCACTGCTACAAATTCTGTGTGCTCATGCCTGTCTTTGATTTGTCTTATTTTGTGAGCCTTTTAAATATTGAATCATACATCAGGTCTGAGCTTGTAGTCCCTAAGCTCCATAAGACCATCTGAGCCAGACATGACAAATAGGCCTAGGCTAATAACATGGTGGGCAGGTATGTGTGTATATGCAGTGTTTGTACATAGATTAGCCTGGTGCGATGATGTATGTGTCTGCGTGGTCTGGATAATAGATTTACACAAAGCGGCTTGTGTGTGTGTGTGTATGTGTGTGTGTGTGAGAGAGAGAGAGAGAGAGAGAGAGAGAGAGAGAGAGGGATCCAAGGTTAAAACATGTTTACTGAGATGTTTCAGTCATTGGTCATACTTCACACTCAAAGGATGATCCATGATGCTGTCTGTGGACTGTACCAGCGGCCCAGCGCACACACAGACATGCTAGCGGACATTTTTTTTCTAGTACAATGTAACTAAACTATAACTAGATAGTCATTTGAAGTATGATTTCTTTGAATATTGAAAAAAAATCATATAAACAGGACAGAATTTAACCTTTCCTGAGTCATTTTAAGAGGTCTTTATCTCTATAAGAATTGTTTAAATTGGTTTTAATTATCATTATCCAAGTTGGTATAGATCGGACAGACACTGGACACTATCAGACACTGGACTATATGACACTTTTGCATCCACATTATATGAAAAAGCCAAAACAACAGACAAGATTCTGCAACTAAAAAAATGTAAACTACAGTAACTAATCTGACACAGATGGCATCACAGCACTCTGTAGGTCAATATTATTTAATACAGATGGAGGGCTGTTTAAATTCATATTGTTAAAATGCAGATTTTTGTTATGTTCATGGGTCTAGTGAAGAACAGAAATGGAAAAGGATGGATAAGCTGCGAAATGTCTTCAACCAAACTAACTTTTGTCCAGTCGACAAACTGAATTTTCTCCTTGCCATTAGTTGCATGTATTCAGTTATGGTACTTGTAGCAGCCACATTAGTTGTAGTAGTATTAGTTGTATGTATCTTGCCTTGAACAACACAGTTCATATTAGAAAACAAACATAAAGCACAGTTAATTTAATTTTCTATGAAGCCAGGAGGACCAAAGGCACGTACACTACAGTTAGAAGCAAGAAAATGAATTGTAAATGTCAAGAAGGTCCCTGAAGTAACAGAGCTGCAGAAAACAAATATATCACAAATTGAAGACCACTGGGGAGCCTTATGCTTATAAAGACCCTCTGAAGATAAATGTCACATGTAATTAAATAAAAGTCCTGGTTTAACACTGGCACAGACCCGGTGGTGGGTAATTAGAGCTTGGCTGAGGAAACAGATGCAGTGTGGAGGGTCTGGACTCACCTGGTACTGAGGTTCCCAGTGCCACAAATACTACTGCAGTCACAGAGTCTTTCAGGCCCACTGTGCAGCCAAAATGAGACGCCAAATCACCTGGAACAAGTTCACAGACAAAACATATTAAACAGATGAATTTTTTATGTCAAAACTTTCAGAGGAAAGAAGGAGTTTGTATCAAGAATTAATGCTTCTAGGGTCAGTTTTGCTAAGATGTGTATCGGTGAGAATTTGAGCACATACATGATCAGAACACATATAATAAAATGTCTAAACTGAGTGAGAGAGAGAGTATTAACACAACCTCAGGTACATTTTCATATGCATCACGTATGTCCTTTCATTTGACATGTTATTGATGATTTCTTTGCATTATTTACTGTCAATACAAAGTGCAGACACAGAAAAACATAAAATGGGAGATTTAAAGATCCTAAATTAAAATTTCATGTGCTTTTACCTCTGCAAAAACATCCACTAGAGTTGTATTTTGTTTCATTCACATGTTTGAGCAATCTTCATTATTAGGCTGTCTACATCTCTAAAGCTTTAAATGCTCTATTCCACCTTGTGATGTCATGTAGTGGTATTTTCCAAACTAACAGCTACACTTACCCTTAAGTTCTGTAGAAATCGGCAATTCCAGAGTTGAAATCATCCAAATTATTTCAATAAGGAGTTTAATATTGTATGGAGTTTAAAAACACAGTGGAGCACTTCCTGTATTATCACATATTATAACAATGTGGAAGTGTTTCTTGTTTGAGAGAAGAACTAAATATACAGGGTTTGTGTGGTAAACACATGCAAATGAAACTCCAGGTATGTTTTTGATGAGGATACAACATTATCATAATGTTCATACGTCAAAAAATAGCCTAATAAGTTTTAAAGAAATGTAAAGAAAAACAGGCGCTTACCAATGACAGCGGTGAGGAGTCCAATCATGCAGATGGAAACAACGAAGCAAGCCCAGCCATTCCAGTACTCTGTGGGAGGGACGAAGGCGAACAGAACCTTCCAGAACACAGTCAGGAAATGCATCACATAGTCGAAACAGGAGGGCAGCTTCTCCTCCCCGCACTCTTCATCATCGTCATCCTCACCTGACACACAAGACAAGACAGAGGATGCTGTTAGGACGTTTGCAAGGAAAGCAACAAGAAGGCTGTTTCTGTAGTTACACTTGAAGAATTGCCAACAGTGCGTTTAAAGGTGCAATGTGTAACTTTTTGGTAGTGATTCAGCCACCTTCTTGTTTCTATGGAAATGCCATTGCTCTGCTTGGTGTGTTCCACATTATGACACTAAACAGATGTACCTTACATTTATTCAATTACAGATGGTTTTATTGTTCAAAAATATCTAGAAAAATAGGTATTCTAACTGTGAGCGAGGTTGCTTCTCCACAAATCTGACCTGCAACTTGGCCTGGTTGGTCTCCATGAAGATAGAAAGGTTTAATGCCATACTGTGAAACATTCCAGACAAAGCAATAACATCTCCACTGAGAAAAGCACGTAAAGGAACCTCCACCAGAAAAGTTACAAAATGCACCATTAAATATAGACCTGCTATTGAATCAATAGCAAACTATAATTTCAATAACTGCAAAAACTTCAATTATTTTGTCAATATGTAATCTTCCTAGGGGTAGTTCCTGTTTCAGTCAAGTCTCTCAAGTGATAATGCTCCTAATCACAAAAGCTGAAAAATCCCATTTAGATATTTTCGACAAACTGGTCAGCCCTGGTTAGAATCAATGGCTCTAACCCACAAAAGAAATGGACTTATAATAGCAGCTTGATTAACTTGAAAGGTTAAGAGGTATTGATCCAAAGAGCATTGCTTTAGTGAAATCCTTTTTTCTTCATTTCAGAGCGATCGCAAATACCCCCATTTATCAATCAAACGCTTGAGTACCCACTAGACATTATGCAATAATCATTTGAACTTTTGGTTGTAAAATGATACAAGTGAAATGACAATTATTTCAATAAAACCTGTAGAAATAAAAGTATGTTCTCAAATGACAATAGCTGACAAATGGCTGCCTCAGGACCAGTCTGAGTCACACCTTAAACATGGTTGTCAGGGTCATCTGAATATTCAAATTATGTATTATTAAGGTGGACAAACTTTGCCCATATATCAGAAGTCCCATTAGAATTCCATGATCTAGCAAATATAAATGCCTGTTAAAACAGCATCTTGATTCTAGACGATTAAGATAAGGTAAAATACACTTTATAATCCCCAAATTTGTCCTCTGCATTTCACCCTTTAGTGCCACTGCAACCTGTAAGGAGCAGAGAGCGTTCTCAATGATCTTGAGCTACGTTTGGTTAGTCTTAACTGGACCTATTTATACCCATTATGTATGTTTTCGTTTGATAGGGGGAAACCCACCCAGACATGAGGAGAACATGCAAACGCCACACAGAAACCCCAGGTGACCAGGAAATCAAACTTGGAACCTTTTTACCGTGAGGCATGAGTGGTAACCATTCTGCCCTTTACCGCATTAGTAGGCATATCACAATAATTACTATATCATTCAATATATAAAAGCTGGAAAATATATTTTTTAAAATTGAAATATGGTTTATCTTTCATTGTTATTGTATCAGTGGTATAAAGTAGTTTCAACATTATTGCTCATTGCATTATATATCTGCTTCAGTATATCATATTTTTCTGGTTTTCTGTTTATGCTTTTATTAGATTTTTACTGTTTTGTTGGACTATTATGATCAAATTTCATTTTATGATCTCTGTGAAGCACTCTGGAAACTGCTTTGTTTGTAAAATGTGCTATAAATAAAGTGTTTTTAGATTTGTTTATCATGCTTCAAAATTTTTGATAGTGACAGGCCTATGCATTAGACACATTTGCTTTACTATAACTGTATTTTGTATTTTATTACAGAAAACAATGTATATCGCTGTCTACAGTGCAATAATCACCCATTGGTTAAACCTTTGTATTAATGAGTCCCCCCTAATGAACCTGACCTCATAAGACTATAATGATAAGTTCCTCTTTCCAAACGAGTGTGGCAGAGACGCTGTATAATTCAGATGCTGACACTTGACCTTCTTTCACGCATAATGAAGTTGCTGGCCCCATTCTTAACTCATCCCATAATAGTCAAAGATTTATTGGACTGCATTACATTTAGATCATTAACACACACATTAATACAGTGAAACAGGGGAAAAAGCTGCCCAAATGAAGATCTCTCCAAAGGTCAACATCTCAGAGCTCACAATCAGTTTATTCTAATTATACTGGTGCAATTAAATAAAAATGAACTGATAAGGTCAAAGGTCATCCCTATTTATATTCTCCATCAATTCTCCTGCCCACTCTCCTCGATGGTTCATTTTCAGGGCTTACTTGGGCGTTGTCTTGATTAATGATTTGTCCAAAAGTCCTCTTAGCCTGTTTTCCTTGTACACGTGTCTCTGTTTTGACCTTTGGAATAGTTATAACAGATTATGTATTTGGATACATTTGTCTAAAGTGCTGCTGTTTCACACTGAAAAGGCCACTCTAAGAAGCAGCAGACCCAATGATAGCTCTGCACTGTAGACCACTTTTTACCTGAGGTTGACAAGATTAATTTTTTATGACATGTTCTCTGTCCTGTCTTTGAAACCCACTGTGGTTCCAGAAGTAAATTTCTCATTTATTTTCCCCATGGACTTTTTCACTTTATTTTTCTGGTAGAGGGTCTGCCATCTGTTTTTTACCTGAAATATTTCATGATATGACATGAATAATAATTTAAAGCAGTAATCTGCTTGTCAGCCTCAAAATAGGTAGGACTGATGCTATAACATGGAACATTCTAGGCCATGCAACAACATCTTTACAGAGAAAAGCAGGTGCCGGAAAAGAAAGTCAACACAAAAATCAATATGCAAAACACACGACAAAATAATATAGACTGCAAATAGGCTAGCTCAAAGATATTAACTAGCATCTTTACTTATTTATTTACCATTCGAACATTGACAAAACAAAATGGATGTCATTCCTACCCCAATTCTCACTCCAGCAGCTATAAGAACCACTTCATCTTTCTCAATACTGGTCCAAATCTCCACAGCCTCTCTTGCAGACACTCCTGCTCACTGCATGTTTGCTTTGAACTCCTCACTGTAAACTCCTCTGTGTGACTAATCGGATCAGTGCTTCGCCGAGACACGCTGCAGATCAACTTTTAATTAAGTGAAATGAAGCTGGCGTCAAAGACAAAAGACATTCTGCTGTTTCGAAACAAACAAAAGTGCTCTGTTCTCCATCATCAACACCGTATGTTTAGTCTGGAGAGTGACAGTTTCGTAAGTGACAACAAGGAAATCTAGACTAGTTAGTAACACACCTAATCATAGAACTAATAATATTTTGTGTGGTGAGTGCTGCTACAACAGTGAAAGGAATGAGCTGAAGAGTACAACAAAAAACACTGTGTATGTTCTTGTAGGTAACAGAAATCAGGAATGTGTTGTGAAATTGGCACAGATTTGGTGAATACTGGCATGGCATATTAGGTAAACCTTTGGAGATTCAAATAACTCAAGTAAGCGTTCACAATCCTGTATTAGTTTGATAATAAATATGTGTATTAAATTGATTCTCTAGTCATGACCCACTATGGAGGAGGTTCTGTCACCTTTGTGTTTCCATGAAGATGTTATTGCTGTGCCTAGAATGTTCTACAGTATGACATTAAACATATCTCTCTCTATGCAAACAAGTAAGTAAGCCAAGTTAGAAGTCAGATCTGTGAAGTGGCAATCCCACTGACAGTAAGAATACATGTGTTTCAAGGCATCTTTCTCAGTGACAAATACACCTGTAATTGAATACCTTATTTAGCACCAGCCAAAAAATGCGTAATGAAGAAAAAAAAAACATATCTAAGTGGCACCGGACTATAAGTCGCACTTTTTGGGGGAAATTTGTTTTATAAAATCAGAGACCAGGAACCAACATTAAATCTTGAAAGACAAGTTATAGTAATAACAATAGAACAGAGAACAACAGGCTGTTAACGTCACATATGAAAAGTTCTTCAGATAACTATAGCATAAACAACTGAACAGAACAAACTCTAAAGTCTAACCCTCACTAAATCAATTGAATTCTTCATCCTCGGTGTCACATCTGAGTAACTCCACGCCCTTCGGAGGTAAACAGAGCGCCGCTTCCTTCAGACTCAGCATAAGTTCCAGTTAGAATTATTCCGGCCTTTCTGAATCCTGACAGGATGGTTTCAGTTGTCTTTATGTTTGTTTAAATTTTAAATTGTCAATGATACAGAAGTAATGATGCGATCGACTTACATGATACCAGACAGGACAGTGGCTCTTTCTCTTTACTCTGCAGTCGACATGACAGTAGAGTGCAAAGTAACAGTGGTACAGGAGTACACAAGCCTAGAGTGCCCTCTCACGGCTGTCAGTGTGAACATTTTAACATATAAGTCGCTGGACTACCCAAACCATGAAAAAGTGCAACTTATAGTAGAAAAATACCGTAAATGCAAGAGGGTTACATTTAATGCTATAGTGAGGAACATTCTAGGCAAAGCGATAACATCATGGAAGCAGACCTCCTGTAGAAAAGTGTTGCACCTTAAAAAACATTTATGAAAGTGTAATCTATCATTAGAGCTGGTCAGATGTACTACCTGGCAAAACTTGTTGGGAAAAAGTTGTTGAGGATTTGCACTCTGTTACCAAAGAAAATTCCAAGCATTTTTTTCACATTCCCATCATTCAAAGCCAGTCTCTCTCCCCATCCTTCAGCATTACTCCTCTTGTCTGTTACTCCTTTAATAGACCCAATGAACTCTATCAAATGTCTCCAGACCACATATCCGAACATTTGTCCCAGTGTCTGCTGCTCCCTCAGGGGTAACAAACTCACACACAGCCATAAATAACATACACATGTAATGAACAGGAGCAGACTTAGTCATTAGAGATCAGTGGAGTGGTTAGACATCCATCCCACTCCTCCTCTGCAGTCACTCCCTCCCTGGATCCTGCTGGCATTACGTTGGTTATCCTGATTCCCTTTACATCGATTTCC